GTATCAACACCCCCTTAAGATGTAATAATAATAATCCTAATAATGTAACCCGTTGCTACCTGCAGACTATATGGGGAGTGGCCAAGAGGGAGCTATGACAATATGTTAGGGGGTAGTTCCCACAATAGAGAGGACAAATGGTGGCAGCTTTAAGTAAGGAAGGAAGCCCCGAACAGGAGAATCCTAGCTGAGGGTAAGCTAGGATTATGGTGTTAACTCCTTACAGCGTAAGCTGTGGTAGCAAGGAGGGGTACCTGCACGCCCCCCCCTGCACCACGGCGTTACAAGTGGCGACAGCGGTGGACAACCAATCCACACCCGTCGCAGGGACGTTACAAGTGGAGGCAGCGAGGGATACCTCCACGCCCCCATGCCGCCATGGCGTTACAGACACATAACAAACTTAACTCCTGCATTTCTATCGACTTTACTTCTGGTTCCGGTTAAGAATTTTCTTGAATATTGGCAATGTAGAAACAGATCTACGAACCTTCCTCAAATGTCAGCGCTTTAACACATGAATATCAAATAGTATCGCTCTGTAACTGGAAACATAAATTACAAAAGTCAACAATTTATAGTTAACGAATAGAAACCGAATTACATGAGTGTACCGTTATTTTTATCGTGACCACTGAGTTGCGTATTACGAACAATATGGCATTAACGTTGGAGACTGTGTCGTTCACATCGCTTAAAACGCGATACCAGAGAAATTCTACCAAGAAGCACCCATAGATGTCAGAACAGATTTTCTTACCTGAGACCTTCAGATTAAAACATAAAAATATTTAACGTGTATGGAAATTTATAGGCCATATTAAATATTAACAAAAGTAGAATTTCAATTCGAAAAACCAAAATAGTTCTTGTGGTTGTAAGTACCTTTCTTCAGCATTTACATTCTTGGGTTAAATGAATTACTTGCATTTATAAACGACGGACGTAACTGACACAAATTAAATCAAATATTACACTTAGAATTAATTATAAATAATATAATTAAATTTTCAATACTATATTTTAGCAAAACTTTTCCTATGATTTTCAGCTGTAAACACACGACCAAACTAATTAAAATTCAAGGAAATAACTTATGAATTTACTGGGCATTCTGACGTGGCAGTTATGTTAGTCTGAAAAGATTACTACTAAATTGATGATTTACTCGTAGATCTGATACCTTCTCGAGGAGCCGCCAATTCTGCAGCTACTCAAGAATTTCCCAGCATTTTATGGAACCCGAATGTTCATTGACGTGTTCACAAGAGCCCTCCGCTGGTCCGTATCTGAGCCACACTAATCCAGTCTATAACATCCCATCCTATGTCTCTAAGATCCATTTTAATATTGTCCATCCACCTATGCCTTGGTCTTCCCAGTGATCTCTTTCCTTCTGGCTTTCCCACCAATATCCTACATGTATTCCTCGTCTCCCCCCATTCGTTCTACATGCTCTGCCCACCTCATTCTCCTTGACTTGATCATTCTAATTATACTTGGAGAACAGTACAAGTTTTGAAGCTCCTCATTATGCAGTTTTCTCCAACTTCCTGTCACTTGAGGACTATGAACTGTAATCAAAGTACATCTTTCGGTCATAATTCCAATTCGACTAAAACACTCAATAAATCCCTAGTATCTATGCGCGAAATGGACTAACTTTGTTGCGGATACGCCTGAACTGGACAAGCCTAAAACTCGCACTGTACAACATGTTCGAATTTTATTCCCTTTTTTCATTATTTCTGCCCGAAAGGAACCACGAACTAAGCCACAACTCACAAAACAATTTTGTTTATCACTTGTTACAGCAGTAACGGTAGAAACAGATCTGTGCAGTCAATTGTAGAGGGCCCTACTGTTGCTGTGAAATCAATTATTGTGGTCTAATGGATGTTCATTGGGTCATAAAGAGCAATGTAGGCACTGACCGGGGGGCTGACCACTCGCGGGGACTTTACCGACGTAAACAGTGCATCCGTTGGGCCTGCCCACTTGACAGCCATGCGTTACGCACTTCATAATTCAGTGCCTTTCGGCCGTTTACTAGCACGGTAGATAAAACAACTTCCTGTAATGTGCACATGAAATCATTTTTAGCCTACTTCCCTAATTTTAAAAAATACAGAGTTCGTGAAATCACCTTGCCCTCTGTGTGTCTGTGTCACACCCAACGCCTGATAGCTGCAATAATGGAGACGATAGTTTCCAGGCAACGTCTCAATATCCTCGTTCCCGCGGCAATTAATATACACGCAAAAATATAAGAACACTTTGACTAGTTCTCTATGCAGTCCGTCTCGTATCAAATCCTTAATATATAGTGAAACAAAGAGGCGGTTAGTGTTTCCCAGAACTTCATGCTTCAAGGTGTAGTAATAATAGAGCACATTGTTCGTATAAGAGGTTATGTGATTGTTTATCGAAGTTCATTCAACTGTCTCCGTTACGATTATTTTAAAGTATGCGGAAGAAGACGTTTTTTGGGAAGCAGAAATTCGTGATATCTCGGAGAGTGTAGGGTCTTGCCGAAACTGGCTGAAAGGAATACGTGCGTGTCTTGAGAAAATCTCTTTCGCAGTTGAATCACAGTTTCGCAGCTTTACTGTGGGAATGGTGACCCGATCTGCACTGAACTGAACAAACTGAGGATCAGTCTTGCTGATATAGAATATTCAAATTCTGTTACCACTCTTTGTTCGTTGGTAAGTCAGCAAACTGTATACAACAAGGTCCGAATAGTTCATGATTCTATAACCAAAAAAGGGCCCCAAATCTAACTTCCGAAACAAGGCGCTTTTACTCTAGAATTTCGAAAGGTGGTATGAATGGTGAAACGTGTATTGGAATCCATTAGAAGGGAAGCGGTCGTGGTCTAATCGAAGTTGTATCATAGAATTAGCCTGAAGCGAGTGAGGAAAACGACGGAGAACATAAGTCAGGGCATCAAATATTCATTCATTCACTCATCAATGGTTCTATAGCTCTTTGTGGGCGCTAGTCGCAATTCACGTTCGTTAATTCTATACTCAGTAGGTATGACACTTTGGACGGGGGATCAGCCCGTCGCAAGGCCTCTACCTACACATAGGACAACATAAACACACATAGATAAACATGGAATTCAAAACCACGACTCGCGCGGCCACAATAATTGGCAGGGTAAAAAAAATATGCCTCCAGAAATTCGAACTGAAAGCCTACCGAACATAAATCCATAGCATCAGTACTGAATCAGCCTCCTCAGTTGTACGCCATCTACTTTCGGAGGGATCTACGTCATCCATTTTAAAGGATTTTTTTCCCACGTTCTGAAATGTTGTTAAATAATTTTAAAGACTACACGGCATAATCTCCCAAACAATTACCTTAACAGATACAGCTGTGAGAATCCGTAAATGAAAACACCAGAAAAATGTTTCGCATAAAACAGCATTTATGCCCTCCCTAAATATATTTGTGCAAGTACAGAACCTTCCATCGCCAGCATATGCAATTTGTTTATTGACGTAATGAAGGAAACAATTTCCCCTGTCCACCTGCTACACGCATGTATCATATGAATGTCCACGGACACAAAAACAAATTGTCTGCTCAGGTGCTAAGGTGCTGATGCAATTATTATTTCAGGGTGCCAACACAAACAGGCATGACGAAAGGATTTCTTTACACATCTGTATCAAATCTGGTGATTCAGTGGTCCCACCCCCACAGTGCGTCACGACCGAAATGGATCGCTTGACCTGTGGGACACCTGCTCAAACAGACGGGTGCCTATATAAGGCTGGGTCCTCTTCGTTTGTCACCGGACTTCGCAATGGCTCGTTACGAGGTAAGTGCGAGAACACATTCAACCCGAAACTGGTATAGTGAAAGTTGGGCATTGCAGCCCATCCGAGCAGCAAAAATATTTTATAGGTCTTTTGCTATTCATTTCTCTCTGCCTATTTGCCTGCCTTACGTTTCCACCCGGAACATGCAGGCAGTATGTTTCTGCCAGAATCTGGGCAACATTTACAAGACTACACGGCGTAACATCACCGCATTCAACTATTGATAACAGAAAACTGATGCCTGCAGAACTATTGTTGATATGTAGAGCGTTCATTACTAGTTATCTGAACATTTATGCAATCCACTACATGAAACTGATTTAGGAATTAAGACTTCAACGGCCGTATTCGTGACAGGGCCCACAATTCTAATTAGACGTAACAACGTCCTTTCATAAATTTCGATCTCTTTCAAATAGCAGGGGGCAGACGAGACGGAGTTATTTGTGTCCTGGGGGCAAATTTCCAGTTTGCTTCGGCCCGCAATGCCCTAATAGAGCCTCTCTTATCCTGCGTCCCCTTCGCTTCACGCGGTAGAAATTATTGTCACAAACGACGCTCTGCAAGCCGAATCGTGATCGTGCAGCTTCTGTGTAACAGTTCACAGGCACATTCGAACATGGAGCGCTGTATGAGGGAGCGGCATTGTGGTCGGATTTTCAGCGCATTTTGCAGCGAGTTCAAGGCTGCGGTGTGCAATCCACGGTGAACCTTCCCTCTCACCAACGCATGGAACTTCTGTCATGCAGTAATCAGTTCTGTACTGTCAGCACCAAACTGTATATATTCTGCTAACTTCTGAGGAAAATTTTATTTTTCTTTCACAGAGTAGAGCAGAAGCTTACTGCCGACAATCAGCCGGCACAGTCACTCCTGACATCGGGCCCCGCTGGGACCCATGGCCATATTTTTGTTTTGTGCCTAGACCTCTTTTCCCTTCTTCCTTGGTCCTCCTTAATGATAAAAGGAGTGGTTGGTCCTTTTTTTTCTTTTTGAGTTTGTGTTCGCTTGCTATATCTTATTGGAGTAAATATGATATATATATATATATATTTTTTACACTCTTCAGGGTACAGCTGATAAAATTCTAATACTAATGTGTACAGGGACATCTGTCAGTGTAGGAATGTGCAGCAGCCTATGCAGCAATTTATTTAGCAATCCGAAAGAGCAGTTAAGACACTCGAACGGTCGTAGGCCTGACCGCCGCCAGGTTTAAGCCTCTTATATTTCTTATGCCTGGCTTCTCCTTGTCCTATTGCAAGTACATTTGGATCTTCATGGCTTGGGATGACATCTCCCTGCCTCCTGCATAATTTAGTTACATTATCATACACGTACGGAATTTCGAACGCCAAGTGCAAATCGCGGACGGCCGTGCGCCTGTCAAGGTTGCCAGTAGCGCGGAGAACTCTGTTCTGCAGGCGCTGCGGTTTCATCAAATGAGTGTCCGCCGTGAACTCCCAGGTGGGACAGGCATGTCATTATTATTCTAGTAATTGCTCTGTACACGATTAATTTAATGTGTGTGCTCAAATGCTTGCTTTTGAATATGGAGTATATCCTAATGTAGGACGCGCCATAGCTCAAGCGGTTAGTCGCTGGCTTCCCACAGCGATGACCCGGGTTCGATCCCGGGTCTCGTCATGTGGGAATTGTGGTGGACAAAGTGGCGCTGGGGCAGGTTTTCTCCGAGTACTTCGGTTTCCCCTGCCAATCTTCATTCCACCAATTGCTCCACAATCACCCTCACCTATCATCTGGGGCCGGTACAATAGGCCAGAAGTGGTCGCAGTACAAGGGACTTAGTCCCACCCCACGAGCAATAAAAAAAATATATCCTAACGTACGTGCCCAAGGCCTTGGCTGCGGTTTTCTCTATGTGCAATCCCCATGTCATCCTCCTATCGAAGGTGAGACCGAGATACTTAATACTATTTACAAATGGATGTTCCGTCCGTTTAGATGTAGGGCGTCCTCAAGCATTCTACGCCTCCTGGAGAAGTAGATGGCCTGAGTCTTCCAGTGTTGACACCATGACCCCACAGCAGTGAGACCAGGCTCATGTTTCTCTGTTGCGTATATACAAGTACCGTCCGCGAACAGAGCAGGGTGTATTCCAGGTGCCGCGGGGGCATCATTTATACATAAGCTGTACAGCACTGGGGCAAAGACGGAACCTTGTGGCACCCCTGCCGCGACTTTCCTGGGCGAAGAAAGTTCATCTTCTACTGAAACTTTAAATTTTCTGTTTGTTAGAAACGAAGCAATCAGCTTTACGATACTGGTCGAAAACTGTAACTCTGTGAGCTTATATTGTAGGCCGGGATGCCATGTTGTGTCAAAGGCCTTTTCAATGTCCAAGAATACAGCAGCTGTCGACATATTGTTATTAAAATTAAGAGAGACGTGATCCGTTAGCCTCATGCATTGGAGTGTCGTGCTGTGACGCGCACGAAAACCAAACTGACTTTGTGTTTAGCAAGTTTCTTTCCTCTAAGTGTCCATGGATTATTCTTAGAATTACTTTCTCGAAGAGTTTGCCCGTAGTGGACAGGAGCCTAATCGGAGGTAAATTTTGCGGGAATTTTGGGTTCTTGCCGGGCTTTGGCAGAGCTATGATTTTGGTTTCCTTCCAAGGTGCCGGGAAGTGACAGAGTCGAAAACAGTGATTAAATAAATGCGTTATATGAACGAGTGATCTTCTTGGAAGGTGGCTGAGACATGCATTTGGAATGCCACCAGTTCCGCAGGACTTCCCTAATTTTAGGGATGGAATTTCTTTGGAGACGTCACATGGTCGAAATTTAAGTGAGGGGTTTTCTTCGACGGTAGTCAGCAGAGCTTGCGCTCGGACCTCCACCCGCCGTTCATGGTCAGTGTCACACAGTTTGTGCAGCGTGAACAGGTTTTCTAAATAATTTGCAATTATATTGGCTTTTTGCCGCAGCTCCTCCTTCGCATGACTGCAGCCCCTGTATTGGTTGGATGGGGTGATTCCCCATCTTTCAGCTCACAGTTGCAGCATCTTGAGATGCTCTCGGCATTCTCCTTTTCCGGGCATTCACGGAGGCGGTGACCACCCTCACACCATGAGCATCAAGGAGGCTGCATGCAGTGGACCCAAATGTGGCCAAAGCACTGGCAGTTGTAGCATTGGGTCAGACAATTTTTTGGATTTGTAAGCTTCTACCTTGAAAATTATGTTGCAGAGGTTGGTGATTTTGAAGATTCCCTGGGATTTTTGGTTTCTCTCCAGGGTGACAAGGAAGAGGGGAAGAGATACCAGGGTGTCTTCCTATCAGAGAAGGGCGTTTCGCCGTCATCTGCTTGACGCTGATGACTTCGTAGCCCAGCTCCTGGAGGGCAATCGTGATCTCTTCTGTCGAGGTGTTACTCGGCAGGTGCCTGATGACAAGTTTTACGGGTTTGTCTCCTTTGGTGTATAGAGTAAAGAATGGGAGACCTTTTTGACTTAGTAGGTTTCGCGTGGCTTTATAATCTGCCACGTCTTTGGTTGTGATTTGGGTACCGGATGCGGTGTTCCGGAAGAACAATTCCCCGGTCACAACAGCTTTCATTTCTTTCCGAAGGCTAAGGAGGTTAGCCTCAGAAGTTAGGTTTTCAGGCGATGGTCTGCTTTTGTCAGTGTTTCCTGTCGATGGTCCTTCGCCGCTTACTTCTGCACCCGTCCATGGGTACGGACCTGAGCGGGGCAAAGAAATTTTTCGTTGCTACTGGCCACGGCTTTTGGTAGATCGGGAGTGGTCTACATCTTTCCTTTGCCCCCTTTGCCTCCTTCTTGGTGGTGCTGCTGTCCTCGTCAGAGTCGCTGTGGGCGCATCCTCTGTGCCTTGAGTGGGTTCCCGCAGGAGAGACTCCATCAGCTCCCTGTGTATTGCTGCGTAGAGTCGCAGCATTCCAGTGAACATGGCTTTTCCGTCCACATGTTTACATAATATTGACTTTTTCGTCTCTGCTTTTTTTAGCAGGCGTTTCCAAGAATCTCCGTTGCCATTTTTCTGTGGAGAAGTCTGGATGAGCTGTCGCATTTTTACGAGCCCCATCCGAACTAAGTTGACCTCCTCCGTTGCGTCGGGTTTGTTGGCTAGTAACTTTTCATGCTGTTTGTCAAAGGAAGCCAGCAAGGAACGCCATCGTACCTCTCACTGAGTGGGTGCCAACAGCGCCATGCTTAAGGCCAGCTGGCCGAAGCACAGCAGCGCTTCAAACTTGTCTACACTTTCTCTTTAAGTACCAACAACCACTCACTCGCTCCAAACAATCGATCCCCGACCGACGTCTGTCGAACTCACACTGAAGAAAATAATAACGAAACGTAATCAAAACTCTCAAATCTCAAACTTTTTTTTAACGAATTGTTCAGTCCTCATAAATCGACGAGTTGAGAGATACTGATCAATCACAGGGTCAATTAATGACACAGAATGTGACGACCCTTTTCTCTGGTTTGCAGACACTCCTTGTCATCGCAACCTTCGGCTTCGTGGTGCTCGCTCTACCCGCACAGAAGGACAATGGGGTAAATCAACAAGGGCAACAAGTGTTGCCATCATATCCACCGCCCCTTTTCCCACCAAATGTGCCACCTACTTGGCCACCACTTAAACCACCCACTCAGCCACCATCTGAACCACCTACTCCGCCACCATCTGAACCACCTACTTCGCCACCACATAAACCACCTACTCCGCCACCATCTGAGCCACCTACTTCGCCACCACATAAACCACCTACTCCGCCACCATCTGAACCACCTACTTCGCCGCCACACAAACCCCCTACTCTGCCACCATCTGAACCACCTACTCCGCCACCATCTGAACCACCTACTTCGCCACCACATAAACCACCTACTCCGCCACCATCTGAGCCACCTACTTCGCCACCACATAAACCACCTACTCCGCCACCATCTGAAC